GGTTGTCATCATCAAAAAGGGGGGGATTGTTAGCCCTTATGTTTTGATGATGTTTTACAACCACCATTAGCGGTACTAATGGCTTATTGAGTGTAAATGTAGTAAATTCATTTATCAAGCTCGTTAGTGCCATTTATGGAGGATGGATGGAACATATGCTACAACGATGATATCCAAAGGAGGAGGAGGCATAATGATGAAGCAATGTTATTCCAAGAACAACAAATTCATATAGAAGTTTCATCAAAATTAAAGCTATATCAAGACTCAAGAACTTTATTCTATGTGAGGATATTAGCTATTTTTTACTTTCTCTCTAGTGCTAGAATGTAGGCAAAGAGTTACTGATTTTACTTGAAGCTATTGGGAATCACACACACGTTTTTATACTTATGTTTTTTAAGCGTTTTTTATAAAATACTATTTATCACAAGTATGAGGACCTATCTGCAAAATTCTTTTTCCAAACAGTTTGTTCTTAGTATTAAAAACATTTTACAAAGTTTCATAATTTTCAGAGGCCAAATAAATATTTTGCAAATATTTTAAGTTGAGTCAAAAATCATTTTCTGCAATATATCATAATGCGGTCGACCGGACCGGTCGACCGCACACATGAACATTCGTCGGTATTTTCCAGAGAGGTCGTTGGTCGACCGGTGCGGTCGACCGAAATCTCAATTTTTATATCAGTCGACCGCGCCGGTCGACCGATGATGGCTCTGCTTGTTTACTGGGTTTTCCAAGTTGTTCGCGGTCGACCGAATTTTCGGTCGGTCGACCGACGTAATTTTTCGGGCGGCCAGAATTTCCTTCGGTCAACCGAAATTCTCTTCGGTCAGCCGCGACTTTTTTAAAACGGTCATTTTCCTAGAACACTGTGCTTACACTTAATCGTGTTTGGCACAGTCTGAGCTAAGGGTCTGAAAAGGAGATTAACCTTCTCTTTGCTATAGGGGCTGTGTAAAGAGAGGTTCTTTCATTATTTCTTCTGCTGTGAGGTTGAGATCTTGTGTGAGATCTACTGTGAGGGTGTGATCTGTTGAGATCAAACTGTGTAGTGAGAGAGATTGTGTGGGATCGCTGTGTAGACGAAGTTTCGGCTTCCAAACCGGGTGTGTAGTGGATTTCTCCTCGAGAGTGGGGAGCGGGGACGTAGGCCAGAGGGCCGAACCTCGTTAACACATCGCGCGTCAAGGATAACGAACTCCTAACCTTATCTCTCTTACTTTTATCGCATTTCTGTTTTGTGGTTTGCTTGTGCTGTTTTTTAATTGCATATTAGAGCCTCTTGACCCTAATCACCCCCCCTCTAGGGTCCAACAATTGGTATCAGAGCTTGGTCTCTATATTAATTTTTGGTTTAACCGCCTTAGAGAAAAGATCTAATGGAGGCCTCTTTGAATATGCATATGCTAGAAGGACAATCCACAACTAGACCACCTCTCTTCACCGGCACTAATTTTGCTTATTGGAAGGCTAGGATGAGAATTTACCTTCGTTGCATTGATCTTGACATCCTAGAGCTCATAGAAAAGAAATATGTAGAGAAGTCCAAAGTCGGGAACATGACCGATGGAGAAAGGCACCTAGCTAATCTCAACGCTAAGGCCATGAACGCCTTAATTTGTGGTCTTTCCCCCAATGAATACAATAGAGTTTCCACGTGTGCAACCTCATACAAAATTTGGGTAAAGTTATGTATAACACATGAAGGAACCCCCCAAGTTAAGAAATCTAAGATTAGTGAGCTTATGCAAGATTATGAGCTATTTAAAATGCTTCCTAATGAATCCATTGATGCTATGTTTTCCCGTTTTACTAATATCATCAATGAATTACATGGTCTAGATAAGCAATTATCCATTCAAGAGATGAACTACAAGATACTTCGCTCCTTAACTCCGGCATGGGAGCCCAAAGCTACGGCCATTAAGGAAGCTCATGACCTCACTACCTTAGCTCTTGATAGCCTCATCGGAAAGCTCAAAGTGCATGAGAAGAAGCTCAAGGGGAAGGAGAAGGAGGAAGTGCCATCACGTGAAGTTGAGGAGCCGTCACCAAAGTTGAAGACCATAGCTCTCAAAGGAGCTAGTGACAACTCATCTTCGTCATCGGATAGTGAAGTTGATTTTTCTAGAGAAGTGTCTCATCTCTCTAGAAGAATCTCTAGACTCATAAAGATGAACAAGAAATTTAACCCTCGGTCTAACAACAAGTTCTCCTCTCGTGTAGGTAAATGTTTTGAGTGCAATGAACCGGGTCACATCGCTAAG